GTTCGTCTCTTCCACACTCCGCATGTATTTGCCGTTTTTCTGATGCTGCGTTTCCCACCGCCGCGGATTCCAGGCCGCCAAACGACTTGAAATTCATCAGAGCCGTACAATATTGTCGCCCAGGAAACGCACACACACACCCTCGCCACCGGCGGGCGGAGAAGCGTTGTATTCGCGCGTTTAGCATGCAAAGTATGTTGCAGGGCCGTAACCGTAGCATCATGATCGATCATGGCGTGTGTCGCACATTCCAGAGAAAGGAAGAGGCCACAGGATGTGGATGTATTTTTTTTAAGGGGGGACGGATCGAATGAACCCAGACAGGAGCACGCGTGTGCGGGCGGGTGTTGTTTTCAAACATGAAAAGAAAGATGGATACATGAAAGCAGACACAGCGAAACCATCGCGCAGCACATACATACATAACACGCATGCACGTACTCTGTGCACCCACCACGACGGGGGGGAAACAAATTCAAACAGACGAACTCACGTCCGCAGCGACCTGGGTGCAGAACTATTTTGTCATCACTATAGTTCTACGTTCATACAACGTCGTTCTATGTTCGGTCCAACGTTTCGACTTTCTTTGTGCACGCTGTGCTGCTGCGGGTCGTGGGTGCTTGATAGCTACAGTATGTACCACAGCGTTTTTTGGCTGTGCCTTTACGAAGGGTGAGAGCCAGGGAGGAGGTGTAATAAGGCAATATGAGCAACCAAGACCCGAGGAGTGAGGAAAGCAGCAGCAGCAGCAGCACAGCGGCACAAACGTGGGAGTCGATGACATCAGTAGAAAAGAGAAAACGAACAAACAAGCGGCGGGTGTTGGTATGAGTTGAAGAGAGGGCAAATGGGACCGACCGACCGACAGCTAACCTCGCACCATCAATCAGCCGCGCTTCGAGCCACAACGGCGTCCCACCTCTTAGATTGCTACAGGACTTGAATGGCCTACCCGCTTTACTAAGCGGTTCAGACCTTTCTAGCGGGCGGGCGTGTTTTGTTGTGTTCCTCCAGCGTGCGTAACCACGGAGCACAGCAGGTACAGACGTGTGTGTTTTCGAAACTGCTGTAACACGGATACCTGTGACCAAGCAAGGTGTTCTTCGCTGTTCTACCCGCTACTGCTGTGCTAGAAAGAAAAAAATGTTACAGCTGCTTCGAAGAACATGAAGGACTCTCCTAGTCGAACAGCCGCCAGGAAACAGAAGTGAAAAGATCACCCGAACAACCTCCACTGCTAACGACCAGCCAACACCAATGTATAACTGTTCACATATGACCAGGAAAAGGAAACAGCTTCTGGTGATCCCTTGCTTACTGCGATAGGACCATTGCCCAAGTCCGCGTGTCAACCGCCGACGTGGCCCCGAGGAAGGCCTCAAATTTCCACGATAGTCTACTCGGGTACATGTATTCACCCTTCGCAGAGGTAGCCTACCGTATGTAACTCCATCCTTCGCCCTGGTTGCTACAAAATTGAACTTTGAGCAGAAATTGGGTCACCGCACCGATCAATTACTTCTTCGCCTTCTTTCTCAAAGCTCATTTCATTCAATATTCAGAACGAGAGCAAGAATCTACCTACTACTACGTTGGTTTTCATTATTGATAATAAACCCTGCGTACTTTGCTACGTCGCACTCTACTGGTTGCGAGGCATGCCATTTCGGACATGGCCCGTCGTCGATGTTCGTGTGGCGCAGGCCTTCATGGTGTTCGGATGGGGGTACATTTTTCTATTTTTGCTCTTCAGTTCCCGTAACAAAGAATATAGCTCTGATAATTTACGTCTTCCGCAAAGTATTGCCCATACAGTATTTAATGAGCGGTTTCATCGAAATTTTAGGATGTTCTGCTCTACCAAACAAGACACGATTTCGTTTTGTACACAGTGTTGTGTTCTTTCTCTTCGCGTGATATCTGCAAACGTCACAACAGTCGAAACTGTACGACGATTCTGTTCTGCTCCCCATTCTGCAATCGTGCATCTTGGAGCGAATGTTGCCCTGCTATTTTCCAACGCATTATCTTCAACCTATAGTCGTCCCCACTTTGAAGACACACATTTGACATGGCTTTTTTTTTATAGTGTGTTTCTTTGACGCGGGGAAGTGTCCTTAAGATTTCGGGGAGGATGACTCACCTTCCCCGGAGTCAACGAACGCGTACCAAACGTCAAAAGACGCGCAATTGCAACAGGGGTACTATGTAACACAAAACGCAATAAACATCATAAACCTGGCTATCACAACGTGGTGGTGGTTGAGGCCGCACGTTTTCACATACCGTCGTTCGCACTTGAACCTTCACATTGTAACACCCCCCCCCCCGCATTGTCCTTCGAACAGTGGGTATCGTGCTGCTGGATGGGGCATACAATGGAACAGCAGCTGTTGTTGTACTAATTATTGTTTCTGTTGTTGTTTTTGTTGGCTATTTTTCTCTCATGCTTTGGCGTCGTTCCCGCCTTCAGCATCTTGCCGAGATGCGTATCATTACCACCCCAAAATAAAAGAATGACAGCCAACCGTCGTTGCAGCGAACTCTGATGATACGATACATATTGTACACCTGGTGCGCCCGACAGGCTACTTGCTAGACAGGGAAGGAGCAAAACTATACCTGAAACGAAACTAGAAGTGTCGGAGCACCCACAACGCCAGACAAAAACAAAAGAGAAAAAATGATTGGAGCCCGTCGGTCCTGCCCTTAGGTCAATATCAGTTAGCACAAAATACAGTTTACCAATCTAAGCATAATTTCACGAGAATGGACCAAAGACGAACACACAACCAACGATTGCACTTCTAGCTACGTCCTCCAAATTTATCCATACCCACACGCAGTAGTGGTAGCAGCAGCAGATCGCTCGCCGTATCTATTGTGCCGTGTAGTTCGAAAGGTGTCCTTCAGCATCATTCTGGGGGTCCCGAATGCTCAACACAGTGCCCCCCCCCCTGTTTTGGATATCTGCGGGGCACCCTTGCTTGTGAGATTTTTTGTGTCTTTCGAGTGGGGAGCCGACTTAAGATGTGCGCCTTTG